ACATGCATAAATCCGTTTCATGCATAAAAAATCAAACTTATTTGCTGAAAAACAAGATTTCTGTAACTCACAAAATACCAAAGCTTATTTGCTAACATGCTTTTATTCCAACATGATACAGATAAATTATTTCCTGTAACCCTTTCTTAACGTTGTTTTAAAGTACAGATTATCAATATTAAACTTCAAGTTTCTTGTAATACATTCTTTTTTTTAATTTGGATCACATCCCATAATATAAAAGGTGAAATCAAACTTATCAGTATTCTTAGATAACTTGTATGGTCTCTGAATGAAATAAGAGTAGCAATAGAGTTAAAAGCTATTGCCATGGAGATTTTGTACTTTAGTGTGGGTGATAATTGTGATAAAGAATTCTACAAGTGTAACCTTTAGCACCAGGTCTGTTTTTAGGTTCCATGGTCAACAGAGCATCTATGGCTTGTCTACATTCCTCACTCAAAGCCTCTTCCCCTTCTGGCCATGGTATATCTGAATAAATACATACAAATACACAGTATTTGGCTATTTTTTCATTTGTTTCCAAAACATAACTGACAAAGTAGACAGAGAGTTAAAACACCTTTAACTCCTTCAGAAAAATTTCAATTTCTTGCATTAACTTACATATTACATTAACTTACACCTTCTAGCATTACCATACAGCTTGCAGCACAATGTATTAACTTAAAGCTTATAGCATTAAACTACATCTTTTAGCATTAACTTACATCTTCTAGCACTAACTGAAATCTTCTTACAATAACCTTATATCTTTAATTATTGATTTAAAGCATCTAGCATGAACTCAAATATTTTAGCATTAACTCACACCTTCTGCATTTATTAAAATCTTCTAGCATTAACTTACATGTTCTGATTTATTAACATTTTCTAGCATTAACTTACATTTTCTAGCATAAACTCGCATCTTCTAGCATTAATTTACATCTTCTAGCATTAACTTACATCTTCTAGCATAAACTTTCATCTTTTAAGCATTAACTTACATTTTCTTGCATTAACTTACAGCTAGCATTAGTTATCAAATCATGTTACAGTCATATGTTAATACCTCTATTCAAGATGTTATCAAACACAAGATCTGGAGTTTGATCATTAAATGGAGGAACTCCTGTAAGGAACTCAAACATACAGATACCGAGGGACCACCAGTCTACTCCTGGACCTGTAAAATACAAACAAACAAGCAATTATCATAGTATTGCAAGCAATCCATAAGTTCCCTACTGGTTAGAACCCCAGCAACATTCTGAAGGGCCATTGGCCAATTCACTTATGTTTCTATTTTAAGTAAATTTAAGTTTAATTTAAATTAAGTTGAAAAAGTTCTTTAAAAGTGATCACAGGAAACAGTTTTATGTACAGACAGACGGACTGAAGGACACTCTAAAGTTATTTTTGTAAACATCCCTGTTATCAAAATATAACATTTTTTAAAGCAATTCTTAAAAAGGAGATAACTCTTGAAATAAAGATGCAAGACATCATACATGATGCGAGTGTAACAAAGAAACATTAGTAATGAAAGTGTTGATAATGAATGTATATTTTGAATTTGAAGTAAAAGAAAGTTAAAAGAATAAATAAAAAAAATTCAAAGTTTAAGGTGGAGATAATTCTGGAAATATGGATGCTATATTTATAAACCTTCTCATATTATTATGATGTGGGAGTTTGAAGAAAATCCTATAATGATTGAAGAAGTTGTAAAAATTACCAATTTTTTGAAAAAGACTAAGTTCAAAAGGGGCATAATTCTGGAAATAGTCTTGCTAGAGTATTGAACTTTCTCACAAATGTTGAGTGATAATAAGAAACATATATATAAAGTTTGAAGTAGATACATTCAGAAATAAAGAAGTTATTAAAGAAAACAATATTTTTTTCATGAAAATTCTAAGTTCAAGGGAGGAAATTCTGATAAATTTTGTGCAAGAGTTGTGAACCCTGTCACATATGATGTGATTGACGACTAGAATTTTATATTTAAAATTTGAAGAAAATACTTTAAGAAATAAAGAACTTCTAGTGAAAAAACATAAAAACTAGAATCAGAAATCTTGAAATTCAGTCTATTTGTTGCCATAGCAACCAGAATTTTCAACATAGGAAGAAAAGAAAAGCATGTGCATAATCTCCAGACTGCCATCTACCCATATTTCAAGTTTCATAAAAATATTTTCAGTACTTTTTGTGTTATCACTGGATCCAGGTTATGTGTAAAATTTGCCATTTTTTCAGTCTATTTGTTGCCATAGCATGATAGCAACCAGAATTTTCAACATAGGAAGAAAAAAAAAAGACATGCATAATCTCCATACTGCCATCTATCCATATATCAAGTTTCATAAAAAAATATTTTCAGTACTTTTTGCGTTATCGCGGGATCCAGTTTTGTGGACGGACGGACTGACTGACGGACGGACGGAGGGTAAACCTAAAGTCCCCTCCGGTAAACCGGTAGGGGACTAATAAGATACTGAGTTTAAGTAGGAATACATTTTCTTTTTAAAAGTTAGACAATTTTTTGAATTTTTTTTTCACATCTCTGCATATCAGTCAGCTTTAAAGGAACCCCACAGAGGTTCAAAAGTCTAAAAACATAAATTTTAATTTTTTACAATGATAGGCTGGGATACTTTCAAATAAAAACTTGCAAAAAAGATAATCAAGAAATATAATACCCAGAAAGATATTGAAAATTGTACTTTTGTGTAATTCTTAACCCTGAATTGAGTAAAAAAGAGTTGCAACACTTTTCAATTTTGGGTCATTTTTTACAAAAACAGTTTTTTTTTTTTTTGTGGAAAAATTGAGTGAATGAATGATCTGAAATTGTGCCCACAAAATATTGGTCTTCCCCTACATAAAATGGAGCATTTATCTCGAAAAGTTATCTCCAATGCCATCAGTGGAGTCCCTTTAATCAGCTTCCATTTGTTTGACTGCCAATTATTTATTTCCCAGGATAAGATGTGAAAAACCCACATTTGCCCAGTTCAAGTAAGTATCTCTTTTTTTGGAAATATTAATTGCAAGCTGTTTTCACAAAACTAGAGAATAGTTTCAAAGAAGGTAAAATGCAAGACAAAAAATCATTAGGAAATTGTGAATAATTCAAATAACTTACCATGTGGACGCATTTGTAAAACTTCTGGGGCAAGATAATCTGGTGTTCCTAAGATACGTTCCTCTTCTTCTGGGGGTGGGGCTCTCCTGACTGATTTTGGGGTCCTGTAGGGTGTCTTGATTGGGCACGCAAAAGAATGTGATCTAAGAAACGGCTTCTGAAGAGGGGTCTTTGGTGTATGGGGGTGATTCATATTTGGTGTACAGAAATTCACCTGTAATTATAAAAATATGTTTTGATCAAGAACTAAACAAAAACATGACAGAAATCTAATTTAACCACTGAATTGACAATTGTTGTTTGTTTGGGTTTATCAGCACATCAACACATAATTGGGCATATCACATGATGATTGTTGTCAACCTCTTTATGTTGCCAGGATTGATAATTTATATTGGTGCTGGTGTGTCTAACATTGCAATCACAAAACATGGCAATATTGAGCATTTTCTTTTCATAATATATGGTGTTACAGTGCACTCTGGATCAGCGGAAATTCAAATATTTTTTACTGATGCTCAATTGTGAGATAGATATTGGGTTCACCCCTGTGCCTTGAGAAATGTAGGAGTTGCACACTGTAGTATATTTCTTTGTTAGGGCTATAATTCCACTAAAAATGTATGAATGGCAAAATACCAATAATAGGCACCAGTGCTCTTGATGTCAAAGCTGTGCATGTTTGGTCAACATTACTTGAGAAATGTAGGATTTGCGCACAGAAGAAATTATTCACGCCCGCCTGTCTGACAGCCCACATATCCCAAACTAATATCCAGATTATTTCTTTGGAAAATCTGGTTGAAAACCTACATGTACCCTAACAAATAACCCATTATCACAAACCATCTGAGATGACAGCATTTTAATTTTTCAAATCAACCATGTGATTTTTCAGGCTATAGCATCAAAAGCCTGAACTTCAAAACATGTGAATCAGTCCAATGAAACAAAAGTTTTTAAATGCAATACCTTATTTCTAGAAATAGGTTCAGGGGTCATAGGAATATCTGATCTGCCCGAGCTGTTTCTACTGCGTGACTCATTGTATACATATGGTGGTATACATGAGGCTACAGAAGCAAACTGGATCTTTGCTGGTGTCTTCTTTCCTGAAGGTCTCTGGAAACAAAAATCTATGAAAATAACAAGTACATCCATAATCATACACTTTTAGCGGGAGACTCCCACTTTCTTCAGCCATATTTTCAAAGATTTTTCTTAAAATAAGAGGTATTTTCACAAATTAAAGAAATCTCCCTATTTTTGATGTCAGAATTTCCTCTTTTTGAAGAAAAATCTCCCACTTGATCATTGAAAAAAAGTTCACGTGTATGCATAATTGCAGATAAACCATACTAAAGAACTAAAGAAAAATAAGTAAACAATTACAAAATGTATCATACATTAAAGAGCTGTTATTTTTTATTTATTTTTTTTTAAATACTGTTTTAAGTTAACCCAAGACTAAAAGCAGAAATGGCAATCTGCTATATCGATATCTCATACTTTTCATTATTTTTACTACAAATTTTATAGGTGTAAAGTGATGACCCGGCAGTGCCTGATTATCATCAAAAGGTATAACTCAATTTCTTGTATTACCAAGGTTTCTCATATTATCAGGACATGCTAAAACTGATGTAATTGGAATGATGATGTGAATTGTTGTTTAGAATATAATCATCACATAGCAACCAGCATTAGCAACCAACCAAACTCCTCTTTTATTTACAATTACATTTCATTTTATTTCAATAATTGTTCGTAAAGCGGTATTTTTCTGTGTATAAGCCAAAAAACTACTACAATATTAGAAATGTCATGTAAAATTCATTAACACAAGTTTAGTCCTGTAGATAATACAAGAAAACAGGGTACATCTTTACACTAAATAAAGAATGCTGAAAAAAAAAGTAAATAGTAAAAGCAACAAAACAATGTCACAACAGTACTGCCTACCTAGAATTAAAATTATGATAAACTAGAACTATCACTAAATGTGATTAATACCCCCACAAGACTGCTTCGGAAATGAGGATGTTACTAGTAACAGAATACCTTGTAAAAGAATTGAAATATAGAGTTATGGTTGTGGGCAATTACAGATAATTGTGGTTCTTATGTGTTGCATTTCCTTTCAATGTGATTGGCCATTGATGAAGTTTAATTGAATTACTCTGTAATAAGTCCAGAAAGACAAAGAAAAGGAACAAAGGGCAATAACTCTATAAATACTGAAGATAGAGTTATACTTCTTGTGCACTGCACTTCCTCTTATTGTGCGAAGTTGTTTTGAATTCCAACCAGTATTTTTTAAGTTATGCTCCGGACAAGAAAAAGTATTAAAGGGCAGTAACTCTGTATTTTGTCAAAATGGAGTTATGACTCTTGTGCACTGCACTTCCTTTTAATGTCCTTGACAACTGTATGAAGTTGTATTGAATTCCAAACAGTAGTTTTCAAGTTATGCTCTGGACAAGGAAAAGTAACAAAGGGCAATAACTCTCTAATTAGTCAAGATGGAGTTATGGTTCTTGTGCACTGCACTTTCTCTCAATGTGCTTGACCATTGTATGAAGTTATATTGAATTCCAACCATTAGTCTTCAAGTTACGGTCCGGACAAAAAAGGCAATGGAAAAGTAACAAAGGGCAATAACTCTGTAATTACTTTAGATAGAGTTATGGTTCTTGTGCACTGCACTTCCCCTTACTGTGTTTGACAATTGTATGAAGCTGTTTTGAATTCCAACCAGTAGTTTTCAAGTTATGCCCCTAACAAGGAAAAGTAACAAAGGGCAATAACTCTGTAATTAGTCAAGATAGAGTTATGGTTCTTATGCACTGCACTTCCTCTCAATGTGCTTGACCATTGTATGTAGTTATATTGAATTCAAACTATTAGTCTTCAAGTTATGGTCCAGACAAAAAAAAGCAATGGAAAAGCAACAAAGGGCAATAACTCTGTAATTACTTTAGATAGAGTTATGGTTCTTGTGCACTGCACTTCCCCTTATTGTGTTTGACAATTGTATGAAGTTGTTTTGAATTCCAACCAGTAGTTTTCAAGTTATGCCCCGGACAAGGAAAAGTAACAAAGGGCAATAACTCTGTAATAAGTCAAGATAGAGTTATGGTTCTTGTGCACTGCACTTCCTCTCAATGTGCTTGACCATTGTATGAAGTTATATTCAATTCAAACTATTAGTCTTCAAGTTATGGTCCAGACAAAAAAAAAGCAATGGAAAAGCAACAAAGGGCAATAACTCTGTAATTACTTTAGATAGAGTTATGGTTCTTGTGCACTGCACTTCCCCTTATTGTGTTTGACAATTGTATGAAGTTGTTTTGAAATCCAACCAGTAGTTTTCAAGTTATGCCCCATACAAGGAAAAGTAACAAAGGGCAATAACTCTGTAATTTCTTTAGATAGAGTTATGGTTCTTGAGCACTGCACTTCCCCTTATTGTGTTTGACAATTGTATGAAGTTGTTTTGAATTCCAACCAGTAGTTTTCAAGTTATGCCCCATACAAGGAAAAGTAACAAAGGGCAATTACTCTGTAATTAGTCAAGATAGAGTTATGGTTCTTGTGCACTGCACTTCCTCTCAATGTGCTTGACCATTGTATGTAGTTATATTGAATTCCAACCATTAGTCTTCAAGCTATGCTCCGGACAAGGAAAATGCAACGGACATCTGGACCGACCGACCGCCGAACGACCGACCAGCGGGTGACTCCTATATACCCCCCCAAACTTCGTTTTTGGGGGTATAAAAAACATTTTTTTTAACAATTTATCTTACCCTTGATTTAACAGGTGGAGGTGGTAACAAAGGTGTATCATGTGACGGTAAAGCTGCACTCCGATCTCTGTGTCGTACTGGGGGTGATGGAGACCTGCAAACATTTAAAACAACAAACATTTTAGCCTTGAGATGATCAAGATTTATCACTTAATTTTTTTTTTTATTAAATTTGCTGTGAATATAAATATTGCATTTTTTCTACCTTGTTAACTAAGTACATGTGTTATGTATTTGACTTGACCATCTCACTCAACATTTTTGAAGTCTTTTTAATTATATATAACTTAATTAAAAACACCTGAGTAGAACCAACAACCATCTGAGCATTACCTCAGGGTTTTTTTTTCAGGATTTTGGGAACATGACCTATGCCCATGGAATTGGGAAATTCAGCAATGTTTTGTTAAAAATTGGGAAAAGATGCATTACTTAAATTTTGCAGTGATTAAATGAAAGCAAAGAATCATTGTCTAGGATGGCATCTTCAAATATTTAAGCACCTTCACAGTGAAGAAGCCCTTGTTTTCAAAGATTTCAGAATTTGTTATTCAATATTTTTATCTTGTAACATGCATTCAATTGGGAATTTTTTTCCTGTGGATTGGGAAAATAATATACTTTTTTCAATTAGGAATATGACCAAATATCGGCTATAAAATAAGCAAAAAAACATCTTTGTACCTTGATAAGGGCTTGTAGCAATGAGGGGTGTCTGATTGCTATTTAAGGACATTAACAACTTGGCCTTGAGGGCTCGAAAGCTTTAAAAAAAATCCAATAAAATATCTTTACCTGTGTCTTGAGTGTTCATGCACACTGTCATTGTTGGACATGAAAACAGATCTATTTTTATCCTCAAGATCTAGAGAACTTTGAGCTCCTTCACTTGCGTTTATACTCGATATGTCCAGACTTGCTCCTCCTACCTCACTTTCTGACCTTAGACTCGACACAAATGGTTTCTTAAGGTTCGTCAAGTGTTTATTGAAGGGAAACGATTCGATATTCCCATGCAAGATCGGCTCATTTGGTGCTATATTATCCACACTATCTAGACCATGCATAAAAACAGCGTTAACGTCTTTGTCTTTACACTGAAGGTCAGATTCTGTGGCCGAAGTATCACTCAAACTTTCCATCAAACGTTGCTCATCGGCAGACAGAGCTATCAAGTTTTCGGGCAAGTCTGTGCTGCTTTTCTCTACATTCCTTAGGCATTCTGGTCGCTCAAAATCTTGCTCCTTACCAAGCTTTGATGTAACAGGCTCTCTCTTCCAAGTATCTGAGCCACTATTGAAGCGAATCCTTGTCCTCGGTAAACTACTGCTCCTCTTTGGAAATGGTTCACATCCATTAAATCTTAGAAGCCGGAACTCTTGGGTAAGCCCAGTATCTGCACTTGAGGCTCGTCGAACTGGGCTCTGTTCCACGTCACAGAAACTTCTTTTACGAGCAAACTTGACGTGACTTTGGTAGCGCATTCCCTCATCGGATTCATCATCTGAAGGATAACAAAAACTTTTTGCTTTGACAAGTTTACGTGAATTGTGCTTGATAATAGGTTCACTATCACATTTGGCTTTCAAATTTCTATAAATAACATTTTGTGGTGTATTTCCACTCGGCTTTTCATTTTCTTTACAATCACTATCACTGTCCTCGGAGGTATATGAGCCCATTCTCAGAGCTTGTAAGTTTTTTGCAGCGTAAGAATTCCAAACAGACTCGTCAGTTCGATGCATCTGTGGCGTGTCGTCTGTAAACTTCTCTTGTCTGGATGGTGCCTTCATGTGACTTTTACACTCGGTGCAATCTGCTACATTACCTATAGACCCGTGACAGTAACAAGCCTGACTGGATTGTTTCAGATTTTTCAAATCACTGTCAGTCCACTCTAAACTTCCATGTAACCCTGTTTCAGGAACAGTTTGGAACACATTATCAGATTCTTCAAAATTATCACCGTGATCTGATACATGAATGTCACTACCATCCGCTGACATTATGGATTCTTTCTGATGTGGATTTAAACTGTCATTCCCTGTCACAGACAGTCCTATGGGACGAGACATGGGTGCTATAGAGCTTAAATCACTGATGTTAACAGTACTGTGGTGTGTGCTATCACTCTTGCTATCTGTGGATTGTGTCCAGTTCAGTGAAGCCTACGTAAAAATATAAACTTGCATAGTATAAAACATAAATACCATTTGCATTCAAAAGGTTTAAAGCTACATAAAGCAAAACATGCTATAAACATTTCAAAAGCTGTATATTTACCCTGCTCTTATATTCTAATGGTTATATCTAGCCTCGAGGTTATAAAACTATTCATATTATTCAAGTTCTGTCTAGAATCTCAGGATTTTCATTGGTCAATATACATACAGGCTGGCTTGGCTCAATACTGGTGGCAAAGGCTAATCAAATTCAGTTCCAGCACGGTAAGAGTTAAGTTAAAGTACCCTTACATAAATCATATCTGCTATAAGCTGGCACTTTCGTAGAATGACCAACCATGTGTAAGTAAGTAAGTATAAGTATAACTACATAGCTTCCTAACAAGAATCAATCAAAATTTAAAGCAGTAAATGGCTAAAACCACCCTAGTAACTCTGCCATTGAGGCCTCCAACAAAATTGTTTACATTTTTAAAAGCTTTAAAACCAAATGAAGCTCAAGTAAGATTTTAAGATCTTAAAAACCTGGCTATATACAAATAAAAATATCTGAACCTCTAGTGTTGACTGAAGGCTTGAAACCGGAGCTTTCTTCCGACCAGGTTCTCCTGGGGTTGACACTGGCATCATACTTTTAGATATAGAATTTGACAACAATATATCTCTCATGGATTTCTGTTTCAACAACTTATGAGGAGGTAATCTTGGTGTACCAGAAGTCATTTCAGTTATATTTGATTCAGCAGTATTTGATGATATCTCTCTCAGAGGACTTTGAGGGGTCACATGTTTATCAGATATTCTGGATACACTTGATTGCTGTTTCTCAGCACTCTGCAAAGAAAATACAAAATCAACAATAGTTCAGTCAGGGCTTCCATTAATGGCAATTTGGTAGACATTTACTCCTGATTTTGGCTTGTGGCTTCCAAAATATTACCCATTTCCTTCTTTACCAATATAATATGGCTTCCAGTGTTAGGTATTTTGCAGTCTCTGACTTCCTTATTTTGGAACTTTATGGTAGCCCTGGTTCAATACCATGCTTTTAAGTTAATACTATGCAGTACTTTGCCAATTTTCACATATGAAAGAGTCGGACTCTGTACATGTCACTCTCATTCTTACTGGGCTGTTTACCTATCAAGAGATCCAAAAATTCTGTGCCAGTTCTAGCCTGTTCTTCACCAAAAACTTCTCACCAGGATCCAATATTTGTAAGTTAGTCTGTTGCAAAAAGAGGACTACCTAAACTATTACAACTGTCCGCCCAATTCCCTTAAGTAATACTGTGTAAATTATTTACATGCACATGTATATAATTTGAAAAAAAAAATGTGTTTAAACCAGTATTTGTAAGTTTGTTGCTTTTTAATTACACCTTTAACAAGAAATGATCTTTTTTTGGTGTCTTATACACTGGCATATAACAGGGCAATTAATGAAAATAAACTACAGTTTTATTTTTCTTGGATAAATGATTGACAGATTGATTTACAAATGTATATGATGTGATCAAGGAATACTTACGAATAAAAGTGAACTTCTCAGAGATAAGATCTGACCTGGTGTACGAAAGTATTCAAAGTTTCGTTGATACTGTGTCATAGGAGTTTTTGGAGTCATGGGAATGTCATGATGATCTGAAAAAGGGGATAAATTTAACACTCACCCTGCTAATCTTATATAATGAACTGGTCCTACTTTGAATTTCGAACAGTCCATTTTGATTTAAAGGGATTTCAGCATTAAAATACTTAATTACTTGGAAGTCTGTTTAAACAAAGTAAAAAGAAATATGAAAATTCCTCTGCTTACTATCCAGAACTGTCAAAAGATTAATTCTACATTATTGGCATCATTTCCTTGTTGGAAAGTAAATGCCCAATGTGAAAAAAGTCTGAAGTTTTAATCAAGAAACAATTATTATTATTATAATATATTATATGTTATTTTGGTTTTGGAGTGATATATGTGGATATATTACCTGTCAAGATTTATATCACCCGAGCCGTTAGGCGAGGGTGATATTTTATCTTGGCAGGTAATATATCCACATATATCACTCCAAAACCAAAATAATAATTTTATTACCCTTCCCGTGCCGAGTTAAGACGATTTTAAAATAAATCATTGCTACTTCAAATGAAACGTCGAAATAAGATTCCCTTTAGGATACCCCTTCACCATAACATGACGTCACATAAATACATGACGTATTTTCTTTCGAACATAACGGATGTAAACAAGAGAAAAGGAGTAGTCTGTTGAACGCACTTTTTTGGAATTAATATCAAGCTTTCACAAGGTCATATTTGTTTCCTATACTGACGAGAATATGTATCATTACTCTATTTTGGTAAATATATATCATTTGATAGTTTAAAAGTGCTTATAAATCGGAATTTATATCGCGTAAAATCAAACCGTACGCGCATCGTACGGCGCATGTTGTTTACAACGTGGGGTACCAATCGGGGAAATTTAATGTGTATATTACCCGTCTGGCTCGGTAATATCAATTTCTTTCGGGTGATCAATATCCAATCAAAAAGGCGGAAAAAATCTGGAAGGGTAATAAATATATATATATATATATACAAACATTACTGCCTCTAACGACAAGAACTTACTAAAGCTCATGTTGATCTTTGACAGCCCAAAATCTGTCAGTTTGATGTGACCACTGTTGCTTATAAGCATATTGTCTGGTTTTAGGTCCCTGCAAAATCAATATATATATTATTGAAATACTCGGGGTTTTATTTCCCAAATTCTTTACAAGAATTAAGTAGGGACAAATTACAGTGATACAAAACTAAGACTACAGTTATGTACTGTTGATTACAAGAATCTCCTTTTCTTAACAAAAGAACAACAAGAAGCCACAACCACTTGCTGAATAATTGCTAGTGGTATGTCAAAACATTACCACAAACTATCACTAAATGCAAAGAAGGCAGAATCATCATATAAATCTCTATCTCAGCTGTACTTATTGTAAATGTTTCATGCAAAATAGTATTTTTTTTTCAATTTTCCAAACAACCTATGGCTTTCTGAAGGAAAAACAAGAACCAGTTGAAGCGAATGATGCTCTCCCAATAGGTTTTGGACACAGGAAAGTATATATATATATTGTAGTGTCAGAGTTATGTCACAGGCAAAGTTCGAAGTGTAAAAATGAACAAAGGGCAATAACTCAAAAATTAGGCAAGACAGAGTTAAGCTTCTTTTGCACTGCACTTCTATTTAATGAGATCAATCTACCTACAAAGTTTCATGTTGATACCTCTATTGGTTTCAGATTTATTTCCAAGATAAAATTCAAAGTGTAAAAATGAAAAAAGGGCAATAACTCCAAAATTAGGCAAGGCAAAGTTATGGTTCTTTTGCACTGCGCTTCTACTCAATGAGATCTATCTACCTACAAATATACATGTTGATATCTCTTATAGTTTTAGAGCTATGTCCCGGACAATTTCAGTGTAAAAATGAACAAAGGGCAATAACTCCAAAATTAGGCAAGAGGGAGTTACTGTTCTTTAAACCTGCACTTCTACTCAACGAGATATATCTACCAACAAAAATTCATGTTGATATCTCTTAAAGTTTTAGAGTTATGTCCCGGACAAAGGACAGTAACTCCAAAATTAGGCAAGATAGAGTTATAGTTCTTTGACATTGCACTTCTACCTAAAAATAGTTCTAAAATCTGACTTCAAATAATAAAGTTATGGGCTGGACACAATTTTGCTGCAAGGCCAAGCTGTGACCTTGACCTTCAAGGTAGCGACCAAAATGTTGCGCGTGACACATCGTCTCAATATAGTGATCATTTCTGTGAAATAGTTGTAAAATCTGATTTCAAATAACGAAGTTATGGGCCCAACACGATTTTGCTGCAAGGTCATGCTGTGACCTTGACCTTCAAGGTAGCGACCAAAATGTTGCGTGTGACACGTCGTCTCAATATGGTGATAATTTCTGTCAAATAGTTGTAAAAACTGACTTCAAATAAAAAAGTTAAGGGCCGGACACGAATTTGGGACATACGTACGGACGGACAACTAGGGAACTATATGCAGCCCCAAATTTTTTGGAAGCATAAAAATAGCACTATAAATCAGAAAAGGGGAAAAACAAAATATCAAATTCTAACAACTGAGAATAGAATTTACCCACACATTTTTAATTTTTTTCATTTCAATCCAATTTAATAGGCATGGTACATAGCAGAGTATCTATACAGACAGCTTTCTATCTTTCAGTCAATTAAATTCATCAACTAGCTGATTCTTGTGACAAATGTGCAAAGGACATTTCAAGTAAAAAAATAGCATTTTTAGGGGAAAATATACCTCTTTCGGGCTAAGGGAAACAGCTTTTATATGACTGTAAAATATAGGGAAAAAATCACTGTGAACATACCTGTGGATAATCCTCTTGCTATGGAGATATTCCAGGGCCAACGTCACCTCGGCAACATACATAATGGCCATGGGCTCATCAAAGTAACCAGCCACAGTCAGTAAACTTTTTAAATCTCCTCCAATCAAATATTCCATGATCTGAAATATTAAACATTCACTGTTGCTATGAATTCAATCTATGATAATTGCAGAGTCTGGCCTAGTGGTTTAAAACACAAGGAATAATTGGTTCATTTCCCAAGTTAAAATTGATGAGAGTCAATGAAATGCTTTTTACTCATGGCTGATACATCAAGTGACTTGCTATTTTACATGTATACAATGAATGTTAAGTTGAAATTTTAGTATTTGAGTAAAGAGTATACTATTTTGTTATGCTCATATAAGATATGTAAATAAAAATCTAACATGTGTTATAGGTCTGCCCTCTTTAAATAAACCAACACATCAAACATAGAATTAAATGGTGCATGATTTTTTAAAACAATATATGTGAATTGATATTTTTTAAAACTGTATTATCTTTACAAAGCTGAATTGGTGGAAAAGAATTTCATGGTTTGCTGACCGCCTGGGTTCAAACCTGTCAGGGGCAAGCTGTTGTTTCCTTCAGCAAGAAACTTTATATTCATTGCTTAGTGCTGAATGGTTTCAGGAACAGATTCCAGAGTGTTTCAATAAGGTTATAGCTTCCAACACAATCAAACTAAAATAAATTTCTATAAACTAAATTAATTAGTGCAATGGATTTTGGATTTGGCCCATTGAGAAACTGAGTGATTCTGACGTAAAAACACTAAAACTGAGCAGGCAACAATATAAAATTTGTTCCTGCATGACTACACAGGTTGGTCTGGCTATATAGTGGTGGTATAGACGAGTCATTATCATTGCTAGCGCTCCAGTTCTTTAACCCAGAACCTACTAATCTATACAAAGGATTTACCCAGCTTTTGATTTGGTACAGTCCATTCACAAGTTTTGAGGGATTCAAAAATCAAAATACAAAAACTGGGAAACTAGCAGTATAGAGCTTATTCTGCCAGCATGAAAGTGCAGCCTGGCCTGGTTCTAATACAGGTGAAAGAGGCTAATCACTTTCAAGTCCAGTTGGTTAAGGGTTAATGAGATATAATATACATTTACCAAAAATATGTTTTGCTGTGACTGGAAACTATAGAAGAGCTGTACCACAAATGGACTTAACACTTTGGCCATAGCATCCCTCTCTATAACAACTGAAAAAAAATCATAAAAATAAAATTTGTAAATGAAAATCAAGAAATGCCCAGCAAACAGCTGAAAAGTGAAGTATTTGGAAAAGTTGCATAAAAAATGTCAACCTGTAGATATTATATTGATTTTTAATTTTTAATTACATACAAGTTATTTCAATAATTCATTATCTGATTAACTGAAAAACTAAGGAAACAATGATGAAATCCTATGTATTATGTTAATATATTGTTGACAACTAAAACTTTGCTCACTACAAAATAATACATTTGTATGTTTGGGATGGTATTGTTTACATTAAATTTTTTTTTTTAAAAATTGTAAAAACTTTATTTTCAAATAAAAAAAACAGTAATGCAAGTATTCATGTGGGTTCCATGAATTGTGTTTAAATATGAAACAGGGTTGGCACAAAAACATGGCAAATTAAGCCCACATATATATATTTTGTGTGTCACCCTGTTGGTAACCCTGTATAATTATAGTTTTAAAGTTTTATTAATTATGCTAAATTCAGATAATATATAGAATTATAGATGTTTACCTTGATTTGTCAAGTTCTTATTAATCATGTCAGATTTCTTCATGGCCTTAATAGCATACAGCTGTTCTGGCTTTCCCTTCTTATGTCCCAAAAACACCTTTCTACAATACAACACAGGATCTTTATGATTTGTATTCAACATTTTTTAAGTTTACAAACCAGGAAAATCTATTCTAAACTGAAAGACTAAATTTGTAGTATAACTGTATATTATATTTTGTATGCACTCAGGGTTCTCGGGGACGCTTATTTCGGCGTCCCGGTACGCATGTTTATTACAGCTGGACGCAAATATTTCAGAGCAAGGATTCCACGTACGCTTAATTTTGCCTGGGGACGCATAAACATTACCGATTGTTTACAACCACAAATACACAAATGCGTCAGCGCGTGTCAGTCTATAGGTAGGCGGTCCTATGCACATCGACCCGTGAAGCGATTAGCCAATCAGCGATAACGCTTCCGATCATTATCACGCAATAGTGATCAGACTAATGTATACACGCGCTGTACATGTAATTACCAGATATAACACGAGGTGATAATTTTATATCTTTGATCAACAGTTGATTGGAAATTAGCAAATTTTACCGACAAAAGGATAAAATTATCGACTATTTACGCCGCAAGTTTAAAGACTGTTTTCTCAAATTACAAATGAGTGTAATTTTGAATGATTGTCGAATATTTTCGGCATTTTCTAGGCACAATTTTGCTTTAGTTTCATTCTTGCAAAAACTTTCTATAAGAGTATTAAGAATTTAAGATATTGTGCCGAAATGCCAGGACAACAAACCAAAATACTCATACGCTTTTCGTTGATATTTAGATTCTATCCGAAAATTGGTCCCGAACATCGGCAATTTCACGTTCGCCAGCAACCCTAAAATTTCGCAAAAATTCTCGGTTTCCAAGCCAAACATGCGAATGAATTGTTCCTTTAATATTTAATCAACATTAAATCTTTAAATATCGATCTTCAATTTGCCCCCTTTTAAAGATATTTGCTAAAATAATTGTCGATCGGATGAATCTCTTACACACTGTGTGAAGCCGTACACGATTTTCCTATTCATTCCGCTAAACGCTGCCTATATACATTTACGTTTTTTTTACAAATATAAACTTTTTGTCTTTAGAGTCAGAATAAAATTTAATTTGGTATAAAAGTGAAAAAAACAACAACAAAAAACGATTTCCATGTGTTGATGCATTATAATAAGATAATTTCATAATAAATATTAACAACAAAACAATAATAAAAATTATACTATGTAGTTCAGAGTTTCTTTTGAGTAACTATAAACTTTGGAAGTCTTTTGAAGATTCAAAATATCAGCAATGCTATTGTGAGCATTGAATGACTAATCTGTAAACATATTAATTGCGACGCGCTTTTGGACTCCAACTTTTTCAGGGTTGGGAGTCCATGGACTCCATGTTTTAAAGTCCTAGTGAGAACCCTGGCACTCAATTAGTTTACTGTGATGATCTTTTCATTTTAAAAAAATGGTATAAATTAAGGGCCGTTGGAGAACGGACAAGAGAGGAATATTGTGTAGTGGAGGAAAAAATAGAGGAAAATTAGGAAACAGAAGAAAAAACATATCATGTTGACTTGTGACACAATTTCATTCAATATCATTAATTTCAAACTTCAAAGAAATGCCTTGCTCTTCAGTAAAATGAATCTCAAAAATTGAATTTTTTTTGTCTGAAGGTATTTTTTATCAGAAAGAGGGGGAAATATATACTTTTTTTGAAATGAGAATAACCCCAAATCAATCCTTAGCAATCACTGCATTCTTTTTTGATGAGCAATAATCTGTACATATCAAATATAAATTGCGAATCACATAAACAGTCTTCTTAATGTTTGGTCTAAAGAATAAACAACAAAGAAGCCGGAAATAAACTGTTGGTTTAAACATATTTATTTACGCTTGATTGTGAAACAAGTTCTTGCAACTTATATTATCACTTTTGAGTCTGCTTCCTGGAACCAACCAGTACTGGTGTCATATTAAGAAACATGGTCGAACCCATAATCCCTGGGTTGAGAGGCAGACACCTTAACCACTAGACCACCAATCCCCTTGAATGAACTGTTGAATATATCAAAACAAATTTGACACAACCTACAATCTCCAATTTTGAACACTTATCATTATATGTATGTATATGTCAAAAAAATGCATTTTATAGCTTCAAAAAGAGTCTGTGTTTACAGTGTACATAACTATAAAATATTGTATCCAAAATAAAATCAAAATCAAAAACATTACCCAAAAGCTCCTCTGCTGATAGGCTTAATGAAAACAAAGTCATCAATACTTGGAAGCTGAAAACAGAAATATGTATTATCTATATACATGTATGTGCACATTAGTGTCCAAGCTAAGCTTGATAAGCCTTTGGACAGTATCATCAGCATTTGATGTAGGCAAAAATTGGTGAAATTTACCTTGTAACAGAGACTTATACATGTATTAATTTACAGAGAGATATGATGATTTAAAAATAGAATTTGTTTCAATCCCTAGTGCAAGATTCATTGGCCCTTGGAGTTCATCAATTTCTGCCATCTTGTTTTACGTAACCAAATGTTTTTACATTTTTATCCATTACTGAGAGTAATTTACATATTCCTAATCTTTATTGCTTAATTTTGCAACTTCCTTTTTGTTACTTCTTTTGATTACCATAACAAATTTTAGATAACATGGCGTGAAACATAAATGCTAATTTGAGGGATAATTAATCCATTATAGTTAAAGTGTATGACATCATAGCTTAAACCAGGAGTATATATACGGTTGAATATGTTTTCTTTAGACTATTTTATACAAAATTTACTTCTGAAATATACATAAAGGTCTCATCCAAGAATTGATAATGATTCGACCCAGAACGACTCGCCCCCACTTTGGCCATGATATGTCCCAGATAAGTGACGATTTGCCCCTCTTCAAAATAATCATTTAAAACGTACTGTATTTAGATGCACCCATGGCCCTTTGCTACCATTTTCATTTTTTTAGTGCCAATGGCATGGCATAAAATCACGTCCTTGGCAGATCTCTGTAGTTGTGAATTAAAATGTTCTCTTTAAGAACAGTAATTTGTCATTTTAAAGTTATCAATATTTAAACTGATAATGATTTGCCCAAGTCCACGCTTTGAGCCTGTGCCTTATTCATAAGCGAGCTTTACGGTAACGCGCGTACCTGCTAAGTGATGGTTTTGAAAACTTTCGTCCGAAAAACCGAATTGACACATCGCAACTTTTCGAATTACAAGATAACGATAAAAGCCGATGTACTCTGATTGAAAACGGAAGCATAGACGGGCAGCACGAAATACCCAAATATACCCAAATATTGCCTAAATATACCCAAATATTGCCCAATTATTCTAAAAATAAATGTTTTGTCCTAAAAAAGTGCTGTTTTTATCATGAATACAATATACATTTTCACTAAGATATAATCAACCATACCCAAATATACATTTCCCTATCATTGTGTTTTGAACCAAAATACAGTCTATATGTACACCATTAAAGCTATTTTTTTTAAATAACATGGACACTTGTATATGATATGAAATTTCAACAAAATTACACCTTAAAAATGTAAGTGTAGACAACAAATATCATATCTTGATTTAAAATTGCAAGTACATTCATAAAGAACCTATATAGTACTAAGATAAGCAAATGTCACAACTTTATTTTCTTACAACATCGTAACTGTCCATTTCAACGGAATGAATGAAAATTATAGCAGGCTAAGTCATATTATATTTAATAAATATTTATTTCTCATTATAATCTATATTTTATACAAATAAAAATAAATATTGCTATATTTGGGTGCATTTGGGTATTTCGTGCCGCCGGCATAGACTGGTGTCCTGTGCACTTATATAGGAACCATAATAGAAAGTGGGAACCAGAATAAACTGAAGCAGTGTATAAAATACCGAATGACAATTTTAAAACGGAAAATGTAAAATAAAAATGAAGGATTCTTTTAAACTATTTTACGAATCCGGGTCAGCTCGGCCCTAAAATGTACTCGGGCCCCCGAGTCAGCTCGGCCCTATTCCAACTCGGCACGGGTCAACTCGGCCCACTTTTTAATTATTGATATTTAGATTTGTGTTATCACTTTTTATTGTTATTATTGTAATTATTTATAAAACACAGATTGACAGTTTCAGAACTATCAGCAGACAGGCTTTTCTTATCAGTAGAATTGCGAGTAAAGATAACCGATTGCGTATCTCACTGTATTTCTGACTCGTGGTAGGTTTAACAGTAAATTTATATACCTTCAGTGTCAAACAATGTGCTGAATTATATAATGAGAGGAAGCTAAGATCACAAGCTATTAATTGGTGTAACAATTTTAAAATCGGACATTTAATCGCCCCAAACTAGCGATTTAAACACAGCTAAATTTGAATTCTTTTGCAAGCGAAGGGACACTAAGGGAAACAAGTCTTGCTTTTTCACTCAATATACCTCTGTTATTTACGTAGTACAAATAAATAACTTTTTTTTCTAAATATACTTTATTTCGGCAGAAGTACAATGTATAACTATATAATAATAAGATATTTCTTATTTTTCATTTACCTTAACAACATGCAAAGCAAAGTTAATACGTTATATATATTTTTGTTAAGTGGGCCGAGTTGACCTGTGCCGAGTTGGTATAGGGCCGAGTTGACTCTTTTCCCTATTTCACGGATAAAGAAAATCGAGCTCGCTTTGAAGTTTGAGGCTTTGCCTTTTTCATATTATTATCTTACAAATTCTGAATAATGTATGTAGGTTTTTCAAATTTATTATGGGATCGAAATTCTAAATGTTAGAATAAAAAATTAGTCGTCTTGTGTTTTGGGTCGAACAATATTAAGGTCGAAAATTACGTTGTGGCTTGAGCTTCCTCAAACAATATGAACTTTTATCACCTTTGTGCCATTCTGCGCTAGCTGACTTCTATGTAAATCATCTTGCCTACAATCCCCAACGTCCATCTGACTTGATGACATACTAGATGAAATAATTTAGGACATATTTAATCTATTTTTCTGTTTGTTTTTAGATTGAATTCAGCGCTTTATTTTTCTTTATATAAAGAGTACTTAGAAAAGATAACTCTGAATTAACCCAATTTGGTAAAGTAAGCAAAATTTATTTTTGTGCGTACTGTGCAAAATGTAATTGGCTGAAATAATTATTTTAAATAAAACGTTAATAAAGTTTCCCTTTAAAAGGAAAGGCTTGCTCAGTTGTGCCATCATCCCAACCCTTTAAAATTGTTTTTTGTTTGTTTCAATTTATTATCACAATTTATTTTAATTACGGTATTTGTATATCATAAAGGTTGTATTTAGTTTTTATGTAAAATGAATATTTTTTGTCAAAAAACGATTTGAAATCTATTCTCTATTGTATAAAACTAATAAAGAAAAAAAACAATCATAAAAATACTAACATTGGCTCTCCCACGTGGAGATCTATCTATCATACTGAAGGGAAACAAGTGTGCACATTTCATTCCACTTTTTTCGCAGAGAGAGTCATTCGTTTTGGCAGTTGCTAATTTCATTTATATAGCAGGTTTATAGACACGTAAATGCACTAAAAGACTTCGTTACGTGGTACCAATTAATAAGCATGTATCAACTATGTTACATCTAAAATATCTATGGACTACACAGGATGCGTTATCTGTAGATCAGCACGTGGTAAGGTTAATGACATGCATGGGCTATTTAGGAAATAGATATCAATTCTGAGTGCATTGTTGTAGAATAATGCATGGTTTGAGTTCAAATGCGTAGTAATATAATCACGAAGGCCGATAGGCCTGAGTGATTAATTACAAAGCATTTGAACGAAAAACGTGCATTATTATACAATAATGCACGAAAAATTAATATCTATTTCCATTCTTACACGTCAAGAAAAAATATAATTACTATTATAAAGTTGGACTTTATGTTTGGTGGTTTAATTTGTTTTCGCCTGAGAGTTTCCAATAGAAACGTTCTTTAAAGGCCGTTCCAGTGGGTTGAAAAAAAACTGTCGTTAAATCTACCGTGTGTAGAAACATTTTGAGAATAACGAATTTTGAAAACGTTGATAAAACTTTGTTTGTTCATTTTATTGCAGTCTATAATTTTCCGAGCGAAATACAAATTATTAAAAGTAAAATAAATGTAAAACTTAACTCGTTTGCAACATTAAAATAGCGTACTTGATTTGATTGTTTTGCACGTGCTGTTTGGCGCTACATTGTGACGTCACGTAAACAACACTTTAAACGTCTGTACAGCGTTAACGACTGAATTAAAGATATTGGTGTTCGGATTCATTTTCTTAGTTAGACCATTTTCTTTCATTCTAGATAGTTTTCACAACAAAATTCGACAAAAAATTGTTTTTATTTATCAGATTTTAAATCAAAATGGCACCCTCAATGTGAAAATACACAGGGAGATAATAAGAACAGCGAGTGCATTGTTGTAGAATGATGCACGCTTCGGGCCTTCTTTGTTTATATAGAAAAAATTCCGATAGTGTTAGAATTATAGATTACCTCACCAAGACGTTGAATTGCGTTTAAATAAAAGACTCAGTAGATCTAAATATAACTCGATCATGCACTAATATGTGATTCGGTCACGATCTTTTGGTAAGCAGGACCGCCCTTTGGAGACGGAATACTACTACATTAACCATATTTTTTTGTATAAAACTATTTAAGACAAAAACCAATTATAAAAGAAACTAACTTTTGCGTCTTGAAAAAGAATTGAAACGGAACAATTTCGTTTATAATTTATTTCTTCCTTCGACTTACGTTTTACCGAAGTACTTAAAATAGCTTAGATTTCCGTAATATTACTTTGTCAGACGGAATCGCCCGAATTGTCACGATTGCAATCGGAACTGCCTCGGCTATTATCATTAATCCGAAGAGTGACGGAAAGAGCCGAAAAGTTGCGATTGACACGATTGCAGCGGAAACATAGATTGGTTTCCCGTTCAATCATGCACTTACACATGTAAGCAGGAAACCACCTAACCGGAACAACTTTTCCAAAACAAATGACTTGCCAAAAATATTACAGAACATATCGTTTAATATGAAAAAGGCAAAGCCTCAAAGCGAGCTCGATGTACTTTTAACGTGAAATAGTATGAAATAATCGCTCATTTTTATTTCAAATGCAGTGACGAGTGCGTGTGACGTTACACGTACTGTGTTAAATATGGCTCCGCCCCTGTCGTTAAATGAATAACGAGTTTTGAAAACGTTGATAAAACTTTGTTTATTTTATTTCACTCTATAATTTTTCAAGCGAAATAAAGATTATTAAAAGTGAAATAAATGTAAAACTTAAAACGTTTGCGACATTAAAATAGCGTACTTGATTTGTTTGTTTTGCACGTGCTGTTTGGCGCTACATTGTGACGTCACGTAAACAATACTTTAAACGTCTGTACAGCGTTAACGACTGAATAAAAGATATTGGTGTTCGGATTCATTTCCTTAGTTAGACCATTTTCTTTCATTCTAGATGGTTTTCACAACAAAATTCGACAAAAAATTGTTTTAATTTATCAGATTTTTCAAACAAAATGGCGCCTTCAATTTTCATTTTACATTTCTGTTCGATATTTTATCGACAGCTTCCGTTATTCTGGTTTCCTGTCCAATTATGGTTCCCATAGACGTGCGCGGGTGACCAGTCTACACATCCGTTTTCAGTCAGAATTCCTCAGTTTTTATCGTTATCTTTAAATTCGAAAGGTTGCGATGTGTCCAATTCGGTACTTCGAACGAAAGTTTTCTAAACCATCACTTAGCAGGTACTCGCGTTACCGTAAAGCTCGCTTTGCGAGCAGGCCCTTCGGGCCAGCTCGTCGAGCTCGCTATTAGACATAATTTATCAAGATCATCTATACATGGGGTATGGCTAAAATACGAAAGTGATTTTTTTTCTGACGAAAGTGAGCGAGAGAGAATTAAATAATAGTAAATATAGCATTTAAATAGAATTTTATATTGATAATGCAGTTTGTAGATATATGTAATCTAAATTGAATAATATTCCTTTTCAAAAATAATCATTAAAATTTCCATTCAGACATTTTCCTTTCTCTCACAGTGAACAATAATATTAAAAAGGTAAGTGACTTACGAAATATTCTGAATTTTATTCTGTACTTATAAATGAAATATTGAGAGTTAGTGATGAAATACATGGTTATTTTCATTTTTCCGTACTTTCATTCTTATTAATGTGTCTTAATTTATTTTCCACTGCAGTGTAACATATTTTCAGTATTATCATCGATGTCTTGCCGAACTACTTCCTAATAAATTTAGCCAAAACACAAAAATTAAGAGGTAGTCTCTCAAATTGAAATTCCAAAAAGAGAAAAATGTATATAATAAACAGCCAATTCAAGTTTTTTCTATAATACAGGACTTCTCTCCACCTTGTGATATGAAAATAATCATATTTCACTCGCAGCAACCCCGACTGTATATATAGAAAAAAAAAATATCCTCTATATACCATTTACATAGAATTTTATATTGATATTGCAGATTTAAAAGTATTTTAATAAAATTATCTTTATTTTAAAAAATAACCATATTGATGATTTAATTTCCATTTATTTGCATACTTTCTATATACAAGTTAAGAGATTTTCCTTTCGCTCACAGTGAACAGAATATGGTAAACAAGATCAACAAGTAAAATGGTTTCCTGCGGGGAACATTTTTAATGAGATAAAGATATTTCATTTAACTATTTTCAACATATTTTTTTTTTTTTTTGGGGGGGGGGGAATAAATAAACGTTTGTATCAGGAATATAGTTGACAATAATCGATCAATATAAAAGACTGGCGACCGTTGATGACCGGAGAAGGTTGAACATAAAACAATTATTTCTTTTTAAGAAAATGATTAAATAGGGCTAACATTTTATGAATTATTCCGAGCAAAAAAATAATGTAAACACACAAGTTTACGAAGAAAATATCTCTATTTATTATGGCAGATGCCACTACGAATATTTTAATTTTGTAGATTTTCAGTATAAACAATTTATTGTTTGTAAAATTTGAGATACATATTAAAGAAACATTGATAATTTTCACATCATTCAAGTTTTTCCACCTTAAACGATAAAATGATAATAGAAAATTAGAAATATCATGTAACAGTTTTTTGTTCTTAATTATGTGTAATTCTGACTAATTCCCTAGAGGTAAATCCGTAACGTACCGGCAAACGATATTTAGCCAGGTTTTCAAAAAGGTCAATTAACCAATCATGTACGGTTTACAGATCACATGCTCCTCCATGTACCGAAAACAGGTCACGTGCTCCTCCATGCCTCAAAAGTTAAACGCGTACCAATACCCTGCGGTCTCCAAACCGCAGGGAATAAGGAAAGGCGGCGTTCAGTGAACGCAACCCCACACGACCTAGCAAAAAGTACCAGTAGCCAGGAACCCAGGATGGCCAGAAACCAGGACAGGGCACGGGGCAGAGCACGGACAGGATAATCACTAAATAATACATGAAAGCAAATAATAGTGACCAATAAAGACATAAATGCAATTGATTGATTAATAGACTTACAACGGAAAGGGCAAAATTAAAAAGATAAAACTAGGGGCAAAAGGGAAGATACTTACCGTTTACGAGAAAATAACAAGGGGTACACAAGGGACACAAACAAAAGTGTCACCAAAACAGTACAAGAACGGCATCAATGTAGACCACAACGATATTCGAAATCCGGGTTTTAGTATTACCAATAAAGCTGAGGGACAAGCTGTTAAACTGAGCCTGCAATTTCGTGAAAATAATATCACAATGTACATGCTTTTTACATAAAGTTATTAAATATAAATATAACAACATATTTGTTTACTTGATTTTTACGAATCAAAATAAAACTAATTAACACAACTTGACATTAACTGCTAATAATAACAGCTCCTTCCATAGGCCAAAATAAAAAGCATTCCATAAGAGACGACGCCGCTCACCGGCGTCGCCAATGAAACAACAGACATACATCTTAGGAACACGGTCAGCAGCATAAGCACTGCTGGGGAGTTTAAAAACCGGTTAATGGTGCACCAAACCTCACTCTTAGCCCCACCATGTTCCTATACACGTGACAGTGTAAATAAAATAATCTCCGCCAAGTGAAATTCTAACAGTTGTCATGGTTACAGAAGATGATTTTTTATATCAATATTGCAGTTTGTGAACGCATACTATCAAAAATAAGTAATGTTTATTTTCAATAATTGTTAATTATGTTAATTAAATCTCCGTTTTTTTTGCATACTTTCATATATACGTGGGTACAATGTCAGAGATCTTCCTTTTGTTCACAGTAAACACTACGAAAATGACTTTTTAAGTATTCAATGTAGCGTTTTAATAGAAGTTTATATTGATATTGCAGTTTGTAGACATAATAATTAGACAAAAATGAATAATAATTATTTTCAACATTAAAGAATCATCACGATCATTTAATCTTCATTTATTTGCATTATTTCTAGATACAATTTCAGTCATTTTCCTTTTGCTCAGAGTGAACAAGACGAAAGTGACTTTTAACATATCAGATTTAGTGTTTAAATTTAATTCTCTATCAATATGTACCCATAAAATGAGATATGACTAGATTCTTAATAATAACCGAAATATGTGCTTCATTTACGAAATTTCTTGTAGACTAATGATACAATATTATACTTATTATTTGCATGTTGTAATTATTTCTTTACAAACAAAGCAAGGTTTTTAAAATGTGATTTGTTTTTACAACAGTATTCATAAGATCTTCAAACAATGTATTAGGATACCTATGATAATACGATTTGATAATTTTACGTCTACTATTAACAAAATGTGAACAATAAAAACAATAGTGAATTTAGTCACCCACTTGGTTTGACTCTACTTGCTCATTAATAATCTTTTTGTTTCTATATTTTCTTTGGGCAATAAATTGAAAATCTTAATCATTTCAGCGCAGTAAGTTTTTAAAGCGCTTTCCGATAATGATGAAAATTTATGTGACAAATTATTTTGTTTAGAAAAAACTTATTTATTTCATTAACTTGAGTCAAATTCTCCATAATGCGCACCGTTTTAATGGTGGCTGAAAAGCCATCTTTGGCACAGTCAATTGCCAAAATCCTGTCAAATGGAAATATGACATCAAGAAAAGGATCAAACGGTGCATGCTCTGTGCACGAATACAGAGCTAGGTTTGCACCCATCAATGATACTGCTACGTTTAAAATGACATCTGTGTGTGGACATGTATTTGGATTGGACTTTATTGGAAAATACAACAACTGGGATAAAGTTGATCCGGTAAATTCATAACATGATTGTTTAACCCATTACTTCATGAGCATTTTGTGAAAAATGGCTGTTTTCATTGAAAAGTCTCCCGTTACAAGTTCAAATTGCTATAATACTATAAAAACTGCTTCAACACTAATCAAACTTGGCACAAATGTTGACTGGACCATTGCCCTTGCAACAACATGCTCAGGCTTAAATTTTCTGTTACCATGACAACGAGGGGACATCTCAAAATTGCCAAAAATCACTATTTTGCGTTGATTTTTTCCATCAAAATTTATTTCAAAGTGCTGCAACTTCTCAATGGATTGAGATAGAGTCAAATGCTTTTCAGCGTTGGTTACACGTTACCTTATGATCAATCTGGGGTCATTTACAGCCTCTCGCAAGTCCAAAATTTTCTTGGCGATGAGGGGGACTCCGCCCCCTTCTATCCCCCCAAACAGAAGGGGGCACATCCCCCTTCTGACAACCCCCTGATGTATCTTTTGGTTGGGGGGCCGCGCCGAAAAAGAGGTCACTTTTTTTAACAACATTTCTCAAACAAAAACAAGTGTTTGGGGTCTAAATAAGGCATTTTTTCATCATTTGAGACAACAAAAAGGGGGGGGGGGTGAAAAAAGGCGTTAAAAGGCGTGTATATGAAGTAATGGGTTAATGTGTAGGACTTCATGATCAGTGCAAGTCAACACGCAAACAGGACGTTTCGGCCCGAAACCAAATCGGCCCTATGCAAAAATCGGCCCCTAGACGTTTCGGCCCTTTTTTATTACAGTTTTGTTTAAGTATTAACGGTATTTTTATACTTAAAATCGTTAAAAATTGTTGTACATTGATTGATTGATGGCACACAAACAATTAATGAATTATGACATATTAATCCTTGATTGATAATCCATTATAGATCTATCAATCACTATTTAGATAAATGCTTTTTTCAAGGTGTAACAATAAATACAACTAAATAAAGACACTTAATCGTTATTTTATAATTTATATAAAACAGTTGACAAATGCAAAAACTTTTTGATTAACAAAATTAATTACAAATATACTTCAAAAATCATTATCTTTTGATCTCTATTAATCATTTAGCTAACACTTTAGATATATGTTTTTTTCAAGGTTTAACAAATTAATTATTTATAGCGTATTGCTAATTAGCCGTTAGTAATATCAAAGATTTTTTTAACTTATGACTTGATATAATTTCTTGATAATATATGCTCTGATTGAAAATCTATCACTTTTCTTGTAAAAAATGTTTGGGTTTTTTTAATTTAAAAAATGAATGTTTACAAAGTATTATTTGTTTTATCTGATAATTTTTTAACTGTTATGTGTTGTATTGTATTGCTAAAACTCGTCACTTACTATTACTTTAGTAGTTGTTGATAATAAATGTTTGTACTGTTCTGTGTCTTGCTTTTTAATTGTTCAAATTGGAAAAAAAACTTGTTGATAATAAGCAGATAACATATGTTTCAGTGTTCGTGTACTATGTTTTGTTTAATAAAGTTTATGTTCTGTTCTGTTTGTTTTGATTACTACTTAAAAAAAACTTGTTGATAATAAGCAGATAACATATGTTTCAGTGTTTGTGTACTATATGTTTTGTTTAATAAAGTTTATGTTCTGTTTGTTTTGATTACTTCTAACTAAATATGGGGCCGATTTGCGATTTGGTAAAGGGCCGAAACGTCCAGGGCCGAAATGTCTTGGGTAATTTGGGGCCGATATGTCTTGGGGCAGAAATGACTCGAAATCGTCAACACTGACCCCAGTTAACCTGGCACAAGATTAATCAATCCAGCTCAAAGTTAATATCTGATCAGATCACCTCATCCCATAGCCAACTCATCCCCTTATTTGGTCAACTTATCCCCAAGTTTTGGTCAACTTGTCTTCAACGAGTCAACTCGTCCCTAATATGGTCAACTAGTCACTTAAATGTTTTAAATCAGTGTCTTTAAATACTTCTTTTAAGTAAGAAAATGATTTCGAATACACTAATGAACAAAAAAATGATTTACATCAAACTCAAAGACACCCTACAACTAAAAAAATGGTTTTATTAGTAGGCCTTGTCTTTGTTATTTGATTGCTCCAAACTATTTAAATAACTTTTGAATAAACACATTGGTCAGTTGTCACGCATAATTATTGACATTAAAGCCTTAACTGGTGCAATTAAATTTGCTGCATTGACCAACTAAAATTTGTGTGGGGCAGCACTGACTAAATTTGAGATGGCATTGACCAATTTTTTGGGCTGGGTTGACTTGGGGCCATTTGACTGTAACTCATCATGATTCGTTACCCTAAGCATTTTTACAATGGTAGTGTGATACACTATTTTTTCTTGCAATCCAAGTGTTCTATGTTGATAAATTTGACAGGTACATAAAATTAACATTGATGTTAAATATATACAATTATTTTGTTTTTGTTTTTATGTTTGTTTTTTTTCCTGTTTGAACATGATCATCTGATAAGACTATGTGATATACATGTAATTATAAATCTTTCTTTTTTTAAGAATGTGGAACAATGCAAATGATGTTTCCTAAATATATTTTAGTTAAAGATAAGAAATTATTTATTTGTTTAAGGAAAGCAATAAAAAAAGAAATTATTTATTTGTTTAAGAAAAGCAATAAAAATGCAATGCTAATTAGGCTTATTATTAGCCTGTTCAAATTCATTTCAAATTTTACTTATTACTTTTCTTTGCAGGTTGAACTTTTTCAAGCACAAACCCAGAAAAAAGAAGCAACAGAAAAGTTACACATGCCTTCCTTTCTTCAAAAAGAAGTAGGTTATACTCTATCTTATTTAACATTTTTCAGCAGTTTGACTTTTTATTAATCAATTTGTTAAAACTTTGTTTAGACACTGAGAATATTTAAACTTAAAAATAACTATTTCAATTCTATTTGAGGCTTAGAATTTTATACGTATTTCAAATTTGCAAGTTATTTTCTTTCACTTTGTCAAAACAACACATTAACCCTTAATGCCAATATTTCTTGTTTATATAAATGCTATCATTACATAGTCCAATCAGTTTTCACATCCATGCAGTCACACCAGGCTGTATATTATCGGTTGTGCAATATAAAGCTAATTGTTTTAATACTGAAATCGCTCTAGATAAATATGGACTGTTCCAAATTCAAAGCAGGGCAAGTCCATTAAATTTTAATCTTCTGGCCGTAACCGAATCGGCCCATGCTACCAGTGTAGATCAAGAATAGCTCAAAGATAGCACATCATTGCTGCCTGATCATGGTTCGCTATTCAGTCAGTATATTATTTAGAAATTTCCCTATAAAATGATGAATAGTTATGTCCTGATTGAACTTGGACAAGTCCTTTTAATATACATAGTATTTGGAATGGTAAGGCTGTAAGAGTTAAGAATTGAACATGACACTAGTCTTGGGGTAACATTTCTGAAAGTTACTTTTTATATGGGCTGAATGGTTGCTTCAGTGATAGTTCTATATGTGCTATGTTTTCAGGCACGAGGAATGGATTACCTTGTACTGTGGCTAGATTGTGACAAAGAGGGAGAAAATATCTGCTTTGAAGTAGTAGACTGTGTTAAAGGTGTGATGAACAGAAATGTGTCGGGATGTGTAAGTTTATATTATATATGATTTTGATCTTTTGCTAGAACATTTATGGACAGACAGATTTTGGGTGTAAGTTTGTATATGTAGAGCATGTGACTTAGATCTTTCCTAGAGTTACAAGGGACAGTTAGATTTTAGAATCTTGTTCTCATTCTTTGCTTAATTTGTATAAAGTTGGTCCATATTTTACTAGTGTTGTGTTAGTATAGGGTTAACGCACGTTTTTCCGTGTTATAACGTCTGCAGTGTCCCAAGGACCGGTAGGTGCCGAGCCCGGTAGGGCGAGGGCTCCAACAGTTCCGAGGGACTCTGCAGACTTTATAACACGAAATAAACGTGCGTTGACGCTATTATAGCATAAAATTTTAAAACAGATTCATGATGTCGATTTAATACAAAACACACACATTAAATCCTTGTGCTTGGACGGTATTTATCCAATTCTACATGTTTTACGTATGCGTTTTATTTTTCCAGGGCAAACATCTTGGAAATAAAAATGCTCTGAACCAAACAAATTTTTTTAATTTTAATTGATTTAACAAAGCTTAACAGTGGAGATTTATTAACTTAAGAAAAAAATACACATTAAATTACTCTACCCAAGACAAAACATGACCCTCAGAAATTCCTAGAATTATTTCTGATTGACGGTAGAAAAAAAGATCAATGACATCAGAATCTTTTCTTTTTTTTTTAAGCACACAAGTTTATAATAAAGTCAGGCACTAAACATTATTCTCTTAAAGAAATATAAAGAGCATTTATCAATATAAACATCATATAAACGTATTTCCAGCATAGTTACTTGAATGCTGCTCGCCGTTACTTATGCGATTGATGCCCTCGAATCAATAATTTCAATATAAATGCGCATGACTCTTTGGCAAACAATGTTTGTTTGTTTACTGGGCCCTGTATGTATTGCGCATAGGTAAAACTGGGCTATAACAAGAGCGCGTGACTATGTTAACACACGGTTTTGGTCTCGTTATAACATGGGCAAAAGATATCAAAATGAAAATACAGTACAGAAAAACTAAGCCAACAGTATAGAGCCTGGTCAGGTTACACAGACTGGCCAGAATTTAAGCAGGGTAAGGGTTAAAGAAAAAAAAACTATGCTTAATTATGTAGACAGCCTTGATTTTAAAATCAGTATAATGAAACTATGATAATATTTGCAGACTGTGTTCAGATCCCACTTCAGTGCAATTACTGATACAGATATTAGGAAGGCGATGAACAACCTTGGTGTGCCAAATGAGAACGAGGCTTTATCAGTGGATGCCAGGCAGGAGTTAGATCTTAGGATAGGATGTGCGTTTACACGATATCAGACCAAATACTTTCAGGTTTGTTTTGTGTTTTTATACTTCTTTAAAATCAAAAGGTGTTACAGACAATGTTTAAAATTATACAAAAATACTTATTTAGTGATATTTTTAGTGTATACAAAATTTATTTTACTTTGTGTTGGAAGCTACATGTGTATAAGCTTATAAACAAACTCAACTTCGTGATATCTTTGATGATTTAGTGCCTGAAAACAATTTTTTTCTGCCTGAAATGAATTTTCTTTATAGCACATTAACAAATTTTTACACTGTAGGGGAAGTATGGTGACCTGGACAGTACACTGATATCATATGGACCGTGTCAGACACCTACATTAGGGTTCTGTGTGGACAGACATGATAAGATACAGTCATTTAAACCTGAGCCTTACTGGATCATACAAGTACAGGTAAATATACACTTGAGTTGAAATATTCATTATCTAAACAGACTAAATGCGATAGAGACTTCCTTGGCTGAGTGGCAAATGTCTTTGACTTTAAATCACTTGCCCTTCATCGCTGTTGAATGAAGTCCCTCCTAGGACTTTGGATTCTTTCATATGGAAGCTATTCAGCTAGCTACCTGGTCACTCTTACTTGTATTGATTTGACTTTGAGAACAAGGGAGGTAACTTTTACTTGCGCAGTTTTAACTGAATAAACATGAATGATTGGTTCTTAAGATTTGATCATTTGCATAGCGAATGAATAAGAGTTAAAATTTGAATGGATTTATTGTGATAGTTACAACAAACTTAGTTCTTCTACTTTATAACCTATGTACAAGGAAGTGACTGCAGTGGTGTAGTATTGGTACGGTAGATGGTATGCCTCATATGTGGGAGGTTGGGGTTTCAATCTGTGACATTGTTACACTAAATACCACTACCAGCTTCCTTGCCTGGTACCTGGCACCAAGAGCATTGTTCTAGCAATAGTAAGCCTGGAGTCAGTAAAATGTTGGTGGTCAGGATATCTTATTAATGTGTTTATATATAAAAGCATCAGGGCATACTTTTGCTGCTTCAATATAGTTAAGTAAAACATATTGCAGTATTATGTACAAGGCAGGTAACTCTTACCTGTGCAGTTTCAAATTTTTATCAAAGGGAAGTAAATGTTACATCTTTGTACATGTTTTATTACATGTATAGGTGACATGTGAAGGAGCTGATAGGACGTTAAACCTAGACTGGGATAGAGTGAGGATATTTGATAAAGAAGTTGCTCAGATGTTTATGGGACTTATTAAGGCTTCAGATACTGCAAGGTGTGGTATTGTTTTAACATAAATAAAAACATTTACTGTACTTTTCTTCATATATGACATATGTCAGATCAAATAATACAAATGTGTGCTTGAAAACATAAAGGAATGGAAAATATCAAATGAAAAATGCTTTACTAATGTTGCCTTTGTTTATCAATTTAATTGGCGGAGATACTTAAATAAAAAGAACAGTGACATCTACATGTAGTCTGTAAAGAGTCTTTATTTGCAGATGTACATAGGCTATTTTCTTCTTTGTGCTTATTAACAAAGTCATGAGTCATGTTAGAATTTATTTTTACATATTTTAGAGTAACAGATATAACAAAGAAAGAGAAAACAAAGTCAAGACCACAAGCTCTGAATACAGTGGAGATGTTACGAGTTGCCAGTTCAGGATTAGGTATATATAAAGTCAATATTTTTCAAAGTCAAAGTTTCATAAGCTTGACTATTCGGAAAATAGGGAGAGATATTGTACTTACCCTGGCATCGGCATCACTGTCAAAATTTGGTTAAGTTTTTGTTTGCAAATTTGTATCTCCAAAGCTACTGAAGGGAGTGGGTTGAAACTTCACACACTTATTTGAGAGCGTAATTGGTCGATGTCCAAGACCCATAACTTTAACATGAATTTTGTTAAAATAATGACCCTTTTTGAATTTAGAAAATTAAATATTTTCACTTGTTTTACTATCAAACAAAGTGAATAGTTAAGCATGCTGTCCTGCTGACAGCTCTTGTTTATTAACAGATATGAGACTGATTTTATGCTTGTTTCTTTAGGTACAGAACAGATATTTTATTAAACTGACTAATTTGGGGTCAGGTAGGTTAAAAAATAAATAGTGTATGGTGTAAGTATTTTGTTTAAATTTTAAAAACTGCAAGTTATCTATCCAGCTGGATGGTTTGGTGCCTGTTTTAACAAGAAATAATTCACAGAGGTGCATGTCAAGCCGTACTTTGAGAATAAAAGCTTGGTAGTTTTTATATCACATTAAAATTGTTGGTGTGATTAAACAAAAATTTAAAGAATTAAAAAAAAATTAGTTTACCAAGCACCATACAATATATATTCTATATTTTCATGATAAATTTCATTGAAAAAAATATTACCTATGAGAAAAATTGTATACTTTAATGTTTATTGTATCTATAGGTACAAGATTAATTTGTTATTTTTGTCTTGTTTAAGGTATTGGTCCCCAGCAAACTATGCAGATAGCTGAGAGATTGTACACCCAGGGTTATATCAGTTATCCTAGAACAGAAACCACACAATACCCAGAGAACTTTGATCTTGTGTATGTAAATAACATTAATTTATTCCTAAAAATAAATTTTGAAACCAGTCTGAAAATACTGGCATCTGATTGGTTCAACAATATTTATATGAACTAATAGAAATGCTGTGATTTTGCAGACTGGTACAGGTGTCAAGGACATTAATTCTTCAGAATTTAGCCAGATGGTCCTTGTGTGTATTGATTTTGCTGCTAAAATTCTAGCTTTTTTATTGGATTTATTGCCCTCATCAGCACAATTTTTTTACTGGCAAAAATATTGATTTGTAACTGTTTTCTCACTCCAGTGAAAATAATTTGTTGGCTTGCTTTTCTTATATGGACTTAACTGAAATATAATAACATTTTCTAAAATCTATGATTCTGGTAAATTATAGGGGAACATTGAAACAACAACAGAATCATCCAGACTGGGGGAGTGCTGTCAGAGATTTGCTAAATGATGGAATACAGAAACCAAAGTAAGTACATGTATCTTTTATAATCAACTGATTATTCTTCTGTAAATTGAGATTCTGCATAGACAAATTAGTATCTAAGGTCTCAGCTTTTTCTCTCCATATATTAGTACAGTTATTGTGACTTAGTATTTTATCTGGAAGTCAAAATACTACTTTCTTGACATTTTTCTACTTTTACAACTAATAATTTCACATTCAGTGCTATTTTGTGGATGGACTGTTGAGCTGAGTGGGTGGACTAGTTTATTACAATTTAAAGCAGTTAATAAGAAATGCATGGCTTTATTGTCGAGCCGGCTTGCAGTGAGCTTGACTTAGTCGTCACTTTTCACTTTTGGTGGTTTGGTGTATGTGCGTCCATAAGTCTGTGCATCTATCTAGTTTTGTCCCGTCTGTATCTTGTATAACGGCATGGATGTCTTGTTTTTCAGGAAAGGTAATGATGTCGGGGACCATCCTCCTATTACACCAATGAAGTCAGCTACAGAGAGCGAGCTGGGACACGATGCCTTTAGACTGTATGATTACATCACTCGACATTTTATTGGCACTGTAAGATATTCTTTCAAGATTATTTTCTGTATTACTGGCATTTAGTAATAGAAAGAGCATCGAAACACGAGGCTATCTTATTTGTACGAAGGGGCGTAGCCTCTGAGTATAAATCAGATTGCCAAGTGTTTTGTATCATAGGCAAAAATAAATACACATTCCCTGTTGTAACAATATGAAACCCCAGAAAAAAATAACCAATGAACCAGCTTCTAAATGTGGCATTTCTATTGTTATTCCTTTCTCTGTCGTCACAAAAAGTAAACCCCAGAAAAAATGAGCCAATTAATGGGCATGCTCTGTAGTGCGGGTAACTAATACCTGCACGTCATTTAACGCACGTGTATACGATTTAACTTTGACACATTTTCAACAGAAAGGTCCCCAAACTATGATACAATAATGACATTGTCCATGCCACTTACATGCCTCCTGTGAAGAGATAGGTCAGTCTATGTATACATATACATGAAGTCTGACCTGACACTATAATGCAGACTGTTCAGTTTTGTATTTTAGTTTTGAAATCACTTAAACTAAAAATATATGTACTTATCCAAAGTCAAAGCAGGACAATTGTGTTATTAAAAGTTGGAAAGTCTTTCCTCTTAGATGAAAAAGCTTTTCCAAGTTCAAAGCAGGGAAACTTCACTGTATAAGTTCATGAGTTTTTAAACTTTTTAATGTATGTCATTTAGTGAAATAAAAAATATTCATTGCATTTACATCAACAAATAGAGGATCATGATATATTTCTTAAGTTATTTGTCTACCACTATCGATTCAAGTGAAATATGTGAAGTAGTTAAAGCAGTGACTTGTGGCCAGTGCTGATACATTATCCAAAAAACACTTGTTCTGTAAGTTTAAATAAGTAAGCAACTGAAACATTGTCATGTATTGGAGATGACCCAAAAAGACATCACATTATGTCATATTTTACAGATCTTACTTTGTTGTTGATACATGTATTCAATATGAACTTCTATTTGCACTAATATGGGTTTAGAGCTAAACAGTTATGTTATATCTTTTAAGTTACCATAGTGTTTACCAAACCGTAATTTTATAAAATTCCTTTATATCAATAACCCTTGCTGATTTTGCGACTTCATAAAAATGGTATTGCACTGCTGTGCATATATATTTATATTTTAATTTTATGTCTTTTGCTTTATTAACTTATACAAACAGCGTAAAGACGTGTCTATTGTTAGCTTTACACTATAGGAGCATCTATGAAAAATGATTCATTTTCACTTTAACCAGGCATTATTTTTTGGTATTTGATGAATAGAATATTATATTTTTGTAGATTCATTACTGAATTTATTGAACCTTCACTCATTCAATATCCTCTATATAATATTTATTTATTATTCATCATATAGATAATGATTATTTTGTACAGATAAGTCCAGACTGCAGATACTTGCAGACAGTTGTTTCATTTGAAGTGGGTGGAGAACATTTTACCTTCAGTGGTAAACAGCTGATAGATCCCGGCTACACTGCCCTGATGACCTGGCAGGCTCTGTCCAGTGATGAGAAAGTACCGGACTTAAAACGGGAACAACAGTGTCCAGTCAATGATGTAAATATCAGTTTCTTTCTGTTTTGTATGGAAAAAAGTTTACTGTTCTCAGCTGGAATCAAAATTGGTTAGATTTTGCTTTCAGTATTAGGTCTCTCTCCGCACCTGTGCAGTCTGACCAGGCTCTTTACTGTTGGTGGTGAAATATTGTACATTGTATTTTGATATTTAATTACTTTAATTTTGAATGAACTGTTCCAAATTAAAAACTGAGGCAAATCAGTTCTGAAGATTCAAAAGGTTAATGGTTAAAATGCAAACAATTTTTTTCCAAAATGATACTTTAGAAAAATTATTTCAAGTGCTCAATAAATGTTAAAATATTGGCAATCAATATGCATATCATATGTTGTGTACAAAATTTAACTGTAGTTAATATTTTTATTACCATATTTCTACCATGTTACCAATAGAGTAAGGGCTATTTTTAGCTCACCTGTCACAAAGTGACGGGGTGAGCTTTTGTGATCGCTTTTCGTCCGGCGTCCGTCCGTCCGTCTGTAAACTTTTACTTTAAATGACATCTCCTCATAAACCACTAAGCCAATTTCATCCAAACTTCACAGGAATGTTCCTTTGGTGGTCACCTTTAAAAATTGTTCAAAGAATTTAATTCCATGCAGAACTCTGGTTGCCATGGCAACCGAAAGAAAAAACTTTAAATATCTTCTTTTAAAAAACCATAAGAGCTAGAGCTTAGATATTTGGCATGAAACATCTTCTAGTGAGTGTCTACCAAGTTTGTTCAAATAAAAGCCCTGGGGTCAAAATTGGCCCCGCCCCGGGGGGTCATTGATTTTCCCTATATGCATATAGTAAAAACTTAAAAAATCTTCTTTTAAAGAACCCCAAAGAGCTAGAGGTAAGATATTTGGCATGAAACATGTTCTAATGGGTGTTACCAGTTTGTTCAAATAAAAGCCCTGGGGTCAAAATTGGCCCCGCCCCGGGGGTTATTGGATTTTCCCTATATGCATATAGTAAAAACTTAAAAAATCTTCTTTTTTAAAGAACTCAAAGAGCTATGGCTAAGATATTGAGCATCAAACATGTTCTAATAGGTGTCTACCAAGTTTGTTCAAATAAAAGCCCTGGGGTCAAAATTGGCCCCGCCCCAGGGGGTCATTGATTTTCCCTGTATGCATATAGTAAAAACTTAAAAAATCTTCTTTTAAAGAACCCAAAGAGCTAGAGCTAAGATATTTAGCATTGAAACATGTTCTAATGGGTGTCTACCAAGTTTGTTCAAATAAAAGCCCTGGGGTCAAAATTGGCCCCGCCCCGGGGTCATCCCTATATGCATATAGTAAAAACTTAAAAAATCTTCTTTTAAAGAACTCAAAAAGCTATGGCTAAGATATTGAGCATCAAACATGTTCTAATAGGTGTCTACCAAGTTTGTTCAAATAAAAGCCCTGGGGTCAAAATTGCCCGCCCCGGGGGTCATTGATTTCTTTATATGTGTTAGCAAAAACTTGAAAATCTTCTTTGAAAAAACCCAAATAGCTAGAGTTTTAGATATTAAGCATGAAACATCTTCTAGTAAGTGTCTACAATTTTTGTCAAAATAAAAGCCCTGGGGTCAAAACTGGCCCCGCCCCAGAGGTGTCATTGTTTATAACTAACTGGCCCTGCTCCAGGGGCCTATATACAGGTGAGCGACCTCAGGGCCATCATGGCCCTCTTGTTTTTTAATGTTTTAATGTTTTGACTCATTTGTTTCTGCGGATAGTAATGTAAAGTTAAATGCATCCACAGCCACCTACTCTCATTAAAGGTTGGCCCAGCTGGGAGTATAAGATGGTAACATCCTTGCTAACTGCCCCTGCACATTCTTTGCTATTTAAGTGCCAAAATAAAACTACCACACTGTGGCTTACTGAGAGCACTGTATTGCATTTGCGTTTCAATGATGATTTGTTTCATTTTTTGGATGATTAATGCCATTTATCCTGAACTGTTTTGTAACAGCGCTGCACATTTTGCTGTAATTATCAGTTGTATGAGAACAACTTGTATGTAACTTATATGCTAAGTACTGTCCTTAAATACTGTTTAAAGAAAAACCCACAAGTATTGTTGGGAATTGCGCTCATGTGCATGTGCCGTTAAATGATGCCAAAGTGTGTGTGACGTTAGAGAACGGCACTTCCTATGTTTTGTATTATGGAATGTAAGTAGTTTTGAATAGACATATAAAGCAGACACAAAGTGTTGTACATTGTTATCCGTAGCATAGTACCCTATCCAATACGTATACTGATGTCAAGTTTATAAGCCAATAATAATGGCATCTTTTGTTGTGATTACCAGGTTAAATTGTCAGAGAGACTAACCAGTCCACCGGACTACCTGACCGAGGCAGAGTTGATCACCCTCATGGAGAAGCATGGAATTGGAACTGATGCCAGTATACCAGTCCACATTAACAATATCTGTGAGAGAAATTACGTAACCATTCAGGCTGGGAGAAAATTGAAACCTACAACTCTTGGTGTGGTACTCGTTCATGGTTACCAGAAGGTGATGTTTGTTTGATTTACTCATTATTTGCTGGTTTACACACAGGGTCTTCTAGAAAAAAATGACACTCTATTTTAATGTCAAATTTCTCAAAAGTGAATGTAATATTCGTTATTTATTTAGATAATCTTGTCATACATTTTTGTGTTAAAGTACATTTTAAATGCTTTGATAGATTTTGGAGATTATGCTTATTATCTTTAATTTCCTCTTTACTCAGAAATAAATCTGGAAATAATCATTGTTGGATATTTAAATGTCATTTACTAACAGAAGCCCTTGTTTTTATGTTTCAAAACAAATGTATAATTCTGCAACTGTCATGCAAAATTATCAAAGTTAATCTGAATAGTACCATTTGATTTCAATCCAAGAAACATTATCCTATTTCGTCACTTGAAATTATTTAAAATTATACTTAGTATTGCATAAAACTTTATATGACAGTGTACTACTGTTCTTATTTCAAAATCAACTTGCAGTCACATAGTGAGATCAAACAAGCCTTATGCCTTTTTGATCACTTCAGGGACATTTCAAGTCACCATTCTTATTTTTGCTCTGAATATAATTATATCACGCCTTATTCTAGCCTTTGGAGTGTCTATGTCTGCTGGCACGGTCATACATTCTTTGGTCTTTCAGATATGCCCAAGACCTGCCTATATGACTGAAATAGTGTTGGGAAAAGGCGTAAAATCAAACAAACAAACAAAAATATGCCCAAGACAACAAGAACTATTAATTTCACCGTTTCGTTACAGATTGACGCAGATCTAGTCTTACCAACAATGCGTTCAGCAGTGGAGGAACAATTGAACCTGATCGCCCACGGCAAGGCCGACTATGAGGCAGTGCTACAACATGGCATCAGCATATTTCACCTCAAGTTCAAATATTTCGTACAGAATATTGCTGGAATGGATGAACTGTTTGAAGTCTCCTTCTCACCCCTTGCTGCATCAGGCAAACCTTTGTCAAGGTATAGCATTTAATTGTATAAGTCTTTCTGTAACTGATAGTTTTATTATCATTCAATCAAATTACAAAAACAAAAGACAAAGTTCATTGTATTTTAACTACTGAAATTACTTACTTATTTCAGAAAATTAAAATCTTGAAAATATTTCAAATTTTTAGCAGCATCTGCAGCACCCATAATTAAATGGTTGAAATTTTAAGATGTAATTATTTTTGTTAGAAAACTTTTTGTAGAAACTATAATAATAGCTGAAGATTATCCAGTTACCCTGTTAGTATATGTCTAGGTTAGATTGTGGGCTATAGCTGATACACTTGAAAGATAAACAGTGATGGACAAGGATGTAAAAAATACTGAATTTCTGTTCCAATATTTCAGTAAACTTTCTAAAAATCTTTCTCTGTTTATTACAGATGTGGTAAATGTCGAAGATTTATGAAGTTCATTCAGGCGAAGCCAAGTCGGCTCCATTGTTCTTCATGTGACGAGACGTATAATGTACCACAGAATGGTAACATTAAATTATACAAAGAACTAAAGTGTCCTCTCGATGATTTTGAATTGGTGCTTTGGACTACAGGAGCTAAGGGAAAGGTAAGGCAACTGTGATGTATATTTGATGTAGAGATAGAGCCCATTTTCAAATGTCTTTTTATAAGCCTTTTACTTTCTTAAGGGTCACAGTTATCAATGAATTCTATATCTTGACTTGAGAAATGTTCTTCCCAACTTGAATTTGAAATCTCTCCCTTGAAAATTAGAAATGTCTGCCCTGACTTGAATTAGAAATGTCTGTCCTGACTTAAATTAGAAATGTCTGCCCAGACTTAAATTAGAAATGTCTGCCCTGACTTAACCCTGACTTAAATTAGAAATCTCTGCCCTGACTTTAATTAGAAATGTCTGCCCTGACTTAACCCCGACTTAAATTAGAAATCTCTGCCCTGGCTTAAATTAGAAATCTCCACCCTGACATACATAAGAAATCTCTGCCCTGACTTTAATTAGAAATCTCTGCCCTGGCTTGACAGTGTTGCCACTGAAATTCTTGAAATCATGAATTTTCCATCTTGACATGAAGCAGTTGTCAAATATTTTTCCTTCTTCTCATCTGAATGATCATTATTTTGAAATCTTGGAGCAAATTTTGGAAAAATCTACATAAGTTAATTATTTTACAGACTTTTATGATTAATAATAATTCATATGGTGAAAATATTTTTTGCAGACCTACCCGCTATGCCCATACTGCTTCAACAACCCACCGTTCAAAGACATGAGAAAAGGTCAAGGTTGTAGCGAGTGTACACACCCTACATGCCAGCACTCTGTGGCTCATACAGGTGTGTCAGAGTGTGTAGAATGTGAGAATGGAATACTCGTTCTGGATGTGACATCAGGACCTAAATGGAGAATGGCGTGTAATAAGTATGTACAATGTTTATCTAGTTTTTGTATGTATGTACTTATTTTGAATATATTTTAATTGACCGATTGGTTAAGGTTACTGGCATCCAATCTGTTGCCCTTCGTTGCTGCCTTTGAGTGTCTTGCTCTTTGCTGCTTCTTTTTGACTTTAAGTTACTTAGCTATCAAGCACGCTCACAGTAGGTCAGTGGTTCTACTACAGTGCTGATTTATGCCTGAAATGATGCATGGAGAGGGAACTTCTTCAAGAGTCTTCTATCCACTAGTTTAGTTGGAAAGCTGCTATAAGACTTTTGCATGTTTGGAGACACTTACAACATAATCTGAACTGTTGATTAAAAATAGTGAAAGTTTTTTTCCTATTTGTTTCATCACGGATTTAAATTATAATTGTCAATTAAAGTCCGTGGTTTCATCTACAGATTATTTGTATTTCCTTTGTATAGTTAATTGTATAGTTTATACTATAGTTTATATTATAGTTCTGAGTCAGACATATATGGAAATATAGGCCTATAGGGTTAAATATGTAACTACTTGAACAAAAAAACAAACAACAGCATGATTTTTGTATCATAGTTATTGGACCTTTCTGTTGAGTTAAATCGTATACATATACATGCACAGTGCGTTAACTAAAGTGCAGGTATTAGTTACCTACACTCCAGGGCATGCCCATTGATTGGCTCATTTTTGCTGGAGTTTACTTATTGTGACCGAAGAGAAGGGAAAGCGACAGAAATATCATATTCAGATGCTCGTTCATTGGTTACTTTTTCCCGGGGTTTCATATTGTGACAACAGGGAATGTGTTTTTATAATTGACTATGATACAAAAGAGAAAGAACATCAAAACACTTGGCCATCTACGCCCCCTCTTACAAATCAGAAAGTCTTGTGTTTCGATGCTCTTTCTATTACATATCAGATGAGGAACATTTTAATATGCTTATTAATTGAAATCTTTTTAAAATCAGGTCTTAAAATGTTACGCTATAAAACATTAGATCTAAATTTGAGTAAGATTGCATTAATGGTAGACATGCATATTTTGAGAAATACATCATACTGTATTGTAACAAAGTTTTATTTGATGATGTTAATATTATGTATGATCAGTATTCTGGTCTAAAAATGGTCATGTTTGTATATTTTTCTTCTAGGTGCAATGTTGTCATAAACTTCTTTGAGAATGCTCATAAAGTCAGTTTATCGGAAGATTCTTGTGAAGATTGTGGATCCAACCTTATGGAGGTTGATTTTAGCAAGGTATCAAGTTGAGCCTTTTCATTATAATTCGGATTATCTGATCAGTGTCAGATTAGTAAGGTCAGGGTCTTTCAAATAGAATTTGATAGACCCTGGTATGGTAAAGTTGGATAGCTGATACACATGTTTGTAATCTTGCCAAAGTCAGTTTATTTTCCCCACAAATACATTTGTTATGCAACCATAATTTCAATATGTGAAGAAAAGTGTTATACATGAGTGATTTTTTTTTTTTTTTTTCATTAAAAATTTTGCCCATTCAATGTGTTGGATTAATCTGTAGTAAAAATTCAGTGAGTTATATTATTTTATCCTGGCAAAACTGACTTGATCATCTGTGAAGATAGAGAATCATTAAGAATAAAAATAAATATATTTGTAATAACCAATTTAAATTTTGTATTATATCTCTTGTACCATTAGTTTTATTAATGTAGATAACTACTTGAATGTTTCAGGGCAAGACACCGTTAGAAGATGGAAAAACAGAGCATACTGGTTGTGTTTTTTGTGACCCTATTTTGAAAAACTTAGTTGAGAAACACCATGCCAAAATGAGAGTACGGTCTGCTGGGGGAAGGGGTAGAGGAGGGCGTGGTCGAGGTAGGGGTGGGCGTGGCAGAGGAAGAGGGCGTGGCAAGCCAAAAGACAAAATGGCACAGCTTGCAGCTTATTTTGTATAGGAATAAGATAAATGTCATTATAATAACTTGTAGCTAGCCAAACAAAACATTAATACCTGATTACTTTTGCTCCGATATAGTGATTTATGAGGAGTATTTAGGCTGTGGTTCGTCGCCATCTCATAATATAAAATTTTATCAGCCACATTGGAAGGATGAAGCATCATACTATTATGACTTATTTTTTATAATGAGAAAAAAATTAACATTTCGTCACCTGAAAAACTATTTGTCGTAACAACCAGTTTTCATTTCTAGAGAAAAATGGGACTTAAAGTTTGAATTTGCATAAAAAATTTTATCTTTAAAGCTGTCTAACAAATTCAAAGGCTGACATTATAATGTATCTTAAACTGTATTTTGGTCATAGGTATATATGTCTTGTTTACTGATTTTGTGAGGAAGGAAAAGAACTTTTGAAATATTTTGACTATTAAACATACATGTTTAGGAATATAAGCTGGTGATTCAAAAAAGAATACTATATATATTTAATGCTTTATCTTAGTGGAAAACAGTTACTGAATTAATTTCAGACATACAAACACAGAAACAACACATTTTATTATTTTGAATTCACTGGAGAAATGATCACAATAATATGTTGTATAAGTTGAAGAGATAATAAAAAAAGAAAAAAAGGATCTTCACTTATATTAAATTTGACCCAATAGTATGACAACTCTTTTATATATTGTTAAGAGTAATTGTATCAAGGGTATTTTTGTATCAGCTTTTTATAATAAAAAGTCAACTTAGAATATATATATATTTGTTTGTTGTTAATTTTTAAGGTATTTTTCTGCAAAATTGAATTTCAAATAATTGAATTTTATTTTTGTTACTATAGACTTGCCATGAGTTTGTTTATACCTGTAGCAAATATGATTATATATGGTATGTATTCAATTTTTGTGGTGAATAGCAAAACAGGTGACATTGTAGTACAGTGTATTTAAATACGGTACTTTAATTTAAGGGGGGCAGTGGTGTCTGCCTCTCAACCCAGGGATCATGGGTTCAAGCCCTAATTGGGTCACGATCATATTTCTTCATATGACACCAGCACTGGTTGGTTTTAGGAAGCGTTCTCGAAAGTGATTTATTTGTGGCAAGAATTTGTTTCGCAATTGAGCTTAAATGAATATGTTAAAACCAAATATGGTAATTTTCCTTTATCTAGATTGCTTATTCGTAATCAAGTACCAATGAAAACAAAAGTGATCATCCATGTAGTCTGACCAGGCTCTTTTATTGGTAGCTAAATTTTGATTAAGAAGCCCCTAACTTTGGAAAGACTGTTTCAATTTCAAAACTTGGCAGATACAGTACACAATTCAGCAAGTTAAGTCTTATAGTGGTTATACATTTTATGACAAGGTTTGATAAAAATTTCTGACAAGATGTTTTCAAGAAGAAAAGTAAATTTATACAATTTTAAAATAGGAATGGGGAAAAAATGAGAATGATATACAGGAAGTATTTGAAGCAGTTTGGCTGAGGTTTGTGTAACTTTTTTGAAATACAGGAAATGTTTTGGTGACAAGCACAAATGTGGCAATTTCAACAAGCCTGTGACATTGGCTTCATGCAGAAATAGCTGCAATTTTTTTATTATGTTTATCAGTACCAGTTAAAAACTAAAAATATCAAAGTACCTTAATGAATACAAGTTAACTATCTATTAAAGATATAAAAGTTCATAAATTTAAAAAATTATATAGCAAATGTAATTGAGAATGAACATGATAAAGTATGATATGATGTTATTTTCAACATCGCAGCAAGTGATGAAAAGTAATTTATGTTCAAAAGGGATTAAAATTCACCCTTGGATAAAACTAAGCGGAACACAAACAAAGAGTAAACGGGGAAAAACAAATTGCTATTTTTTATTACAAAAATGCTTGTATTATGGCCAGCAAATTCCAAACCCAAGGGATTTGCACACTTAAAGCAGAAGTATAACATGGAGCTGCTTAATCTGAATCTTTATTTGCAATTAAATATTTTTTCACTTATGAATGTTCAATGTGAGTTATAGTAATTCATAAATATAATGAATATAACATAAGATGTAAAACTGGACTATTAAAATAAAACGTATTTCACGGCTGTTCATGCATTGGGTCTTTTATTTGTGTTTTTTGATGGTTATAAAATTATGGCAAATTTCTACTTTTAATGGTGAAGGTCGACCTTATTCAGGCATTTTGTCAGGCACATGACTAAGAAGAATCCCCTATCTTCGGTATATGTACTTGGATAGCTTCACTGGACATGAAAGAATCTAAAGTCAATGTTGGACTGATTGCAGTCCAATGGCAAGTTTATGGCAAGTAAATGGCAAGTAATTCAGGGTCCAAGTGAGTCACTCCACCATGTTCATTAATTGTTTATTTTCAATTTAAGACGTAATTGTCATATAAGAAACAAAGTCTCAGCAGTCTGTTGATCAATACTGGAAATACCACTAAAATATACTGTTAGTATGAAATTCTACTGGAAGAAAATTTTCAGCAGGATGATCTTAAGGGTGGTTGAAACACCAGCAATCCAAGGAAAACATAGTTTCCTAACCAGTATCAGTTCTGCTTCATTCACTTAACTGGTAGATGATTAATAGTTACACATTTAAAATTAACAAAAATTTACATGTTTTCTCCATCTCCAAAGCAAAATAAAAAAAAAACCCTGCTAAACCATTGAAACAAATTTAGCAAGACAGATTTCGAATACAGCATATTCTCACAAACAATCGTTGTTTTTTGTTGGGTTTTTCTTTCACCATTTTTGTCCAGAAATAAATAAATTTTTGTTTGTTTAACTGCAGGAACATTTTCATATAATGGAAATAAAGGTAACACTCTTCTGATGTGATGATAAAAGTTTGAAAGTTTTCATTTTTTGTAGACTAGCTTTATTCTTCAAATTTGAATATAAATATTAACCGTTTGCAAATTGATCATGCAAATTATCATGCACTGTCAAGTAATTTTGACATGTTCAATGGTCGGTTGACTGAAACTTGAGGGAGCAGGTGGAAACTTGCATATTAACAGTGATTAATTTGTATCATGTATGTTTTGAAAGTTCATAGTGGAATTACTGTCTTTTATATTCAAATAATATAAATAACAGTTTATTGCACAATTGCATTTACCAGACAGAATAATGTGTACATTATTTCAAGCACTCCATTCTTTCACAGTAAACTTAAGTGAACTTAGTATCAGTTGTCTCTACCCTTTATCTGATCCTTGGTGTCTGATATTTTCTGTCACACTTTTTGTTCATCTTTCTACACTTTATTTTCATCTAAAACTATGAAAGTGTAATACAAAAATAATGAAAAATTACAGTCATGGGTTGATCTTAACTTTATTTTTTGTAACTAACATTATTTTGTAATAAGAATACCAGAGACTAATATATTACAAAGAAAATTTTGGTTCTGTGTGACTACAAAGAATTCCAATCAATCTTTTAACTTAGACTCACTCATTTTATCCTATGTAAGGCCAATTTATAACAATAATATATAAATAAATGTACATGGAAGTAACAAACAATTTTAGATTTAATCTCCAGATTCTGTATGGAATCTAGATGCAGATGGAGCGATGATTATTGAATGTGCATTAGAACAGGTTTGTGTGTTTAGGCCATGATTGGTGTTTTTCTTCTTGTTTCTAAGAAACTTAAAAGTCATGCACTTTCATCTGAAACTGTGTTAATATAAAAAAAGGTAAAAAAGACTTGCTTGTCTGCAGTGCATACAGGCCAGATAAGAGATTCATGCATTGATGAATTAGGATATACCATCAATCTTACTGATATTTTAAATAGTAATATAATAATTGGCGGAGATTTAACCTTGGAGAAATTAGCTGGCAAAATAAATTTGTAGATACTGGTGCTCCACACCAAAAGGAAATTGTAACAATTTTTTTGATTTTTCAGATACTTTTTCATCAGTGAAGCAACAAGAATAACCGATACTACTGTTAAAGGATGCACACATGGCTTTAATAGTTCCTTTAAACAGAATTCGATCAATTATCTCTAAAACATTTATATTTACACTTGAATGCATTTCGGTCAATTTGATTATCTTTTATTCAAATTTTAGTACTGTCATACCTTAAAATGTACGGTACTATACCGACTGTCAATATGGACGGGCTCTAGATATTTAAAAGGATGCACGTGTTGATATAGATTTTGTCAATTTTTAATGTAATAAAAAATAATTTTTATCCTAATATCAGTTACTAAACGTTCCATTTGTGTATTTAAATATGTTTGATATTATATTCTATTTTGTAGTACTTCAATTCATAATAAATAATTGCGTGCATTGGAGCAAAATATATTTTGAGTTTTCGCCGATTGGATAAAGTAGAAGGCGGGTATTCCGAATTTATAAAATAATAAACAAGTTTAGACACATCAAAGTCAATGACAACAAATTATTTCGAAAAAAGAATGAATATTGTTTTGAATATAGTAGAAGTTTTTACTATTTTTCAAAAGGAACACTGACATGAAGGTGAATTATTTTGTCCACTGTTCAGATAATTTAACTTGATAAACAGAATCCAATTATGAGCAGATCGACATAAAATAAATAATACTCACTTCAAGAATGAAAACATGACTTTTGAAATACAAAGTAAGCTAAACTTTACTTTTTCATTTGATGAAATATTGGACTTCCTAGATGAAATAGATTTGCTGAACAATCTTAGTGTATGGATACATTACCTGATCCACTTACAATACTATGAAGATATGTATGTATGTAGTCTATATAGATGCTTGATAAGGGTCCATCCGCCTGTGAAGGAACAAAAAAAAACAGCTTTCGCAGCCCTTGACATGTCACCAGTCATTCACTTAAACGGTTAATTTTGAAGCACGTCAGTGATAATTTACCTTGCCTTCTTTGTAGAGCCACTCCCTTACTTTATTCAGGGAAAAGAGTAAACTCGGCCCTATACCAACTCGGCACGGGTCAACTCGGCCCACTTTACAAAAAATATATATAACCTATTAACTTTGCTTTGCATGTTGTTAAGGTAAATGAATAATAAGAAATATCTTATTATCATATAATTAAATACATTGTACTTCTGCCGAAATAAAGTATATTTAGAAAAAAAAGTTATTCATTTGTCTTGCAGATTCGATAAAATTAATATAGATCTACTAAAAATGTGTTTCCTTAGATGCATTTTGTTTGTAAAGTAATTTTCAAAAAAAAAATGAAACAAAAACGTGTTTAGTTAATATCATAAGCTTCTAATTAATTGCAGGTGGTCACTAATCAAATTTGAATGAATGCGTCAATCATAATTATCACCTAATTAATCGATATCCTTAACATACACACTGATTGATAATAATAGGTATTTAAATTAACGGTTAAACCTACCGCGAGTCAGAAATACAGTGAGAAACGCAATCGGTGATCTTTACTCGTAATTCTACTGATAAGAAAAGCCTGTCTGCTGCTAGTTCGGAAACTGTCAATCCGTGTATTATAGATAATTACAATAAATGATAACACAAACCTAAATATTAATAATTGAAAAAGTGGGCCGAGTTGACCCGTGCCGAGTTGGAATAGGGCCGAGCTGACTCGGGGGGGCCGAGTACGTTTTAGGGCCGAGCTGACCCGGATTCTTTATTCAGGACATTGGCAGCTGATCTGCAGATACAAGTTCTAGTTTGGTTTATATTTTTCGCAGTCCTTCAAATCT